ATAATTTTGTGCCTATATAAAGGCCCTTACCCCATGTTATTTTTTATCATTCAAGACATCAATAGAAATCTAGAACTTTGTTCTTCCAACTTTGCTTTAGTCTTTTCACCAAAATACTACTGCAATTTTATTTGTTTCAATAGGCGCGGTTGTGGCAAGAGAAACACTATCGGCGATTCAAGGCGCGGGTTAGCGGCTTATCGGCAATCGAAACACACGATCCTCATCACCGCGCTAGCGCGCGTACGTGATCGAGCCGGTAGACCGCCCGACCGCAGCGAGCCGACGGTCCGACCAGCCAGTGAACCGGCCGGTTCGGACCGGTTACTTGAGCAGTTCAGTGTTCAGTGAACCGGTTCGAGTTCAGTACAATATTTCAGTTAATTTTTCAGTCCAGTCAGTTCAGTACACCAGTGTCAATTCAGTCCAGTTTTCTTGTCAGTCAAGTTAAATCTCGAGATTATTCCAGTTAAATATTTAGATCGAGTCGAGCGTCTTAACAACTATTTTCAGTCAGTCTGAGCATAATACTTAGTATTTGTTTATTCATATATATTTTTACAGATTGATCACCAGCAGCACTTACACTGTCAGATTAGCAGTTCAGGTGGGAACTCAGACTGGTATTACATTGATTATAATTACTCTACCATGTTTAAGGTATGTATAGGAGGAATCCACTTTGGGTGGAGGCGCAGTAGCCTTAATTGCCCATCCAGAGTTCTGATGGAGGCGCAGTAGCCTTAATTGCCCATCAGAGTGTGCACATGGCAGTTCAGTTCAGTTACCGACCTAGTGTCGGGAGATTACAGTTTACTTATATATACCTGCAGTCATGATATTGATATTATCATTAATGTTTACTTTAGTATGAGTTTCTGCGGAGCGCAGTGACTTTAGTGCTCACGCTCCCACTATTATTATCTTTTTCAGGTAACAGGGTCGGCCCGGAGGAGTGAGCAAAGCTGGTGGTCGTTGGTGCAGTACATATATAATTATGCTTTTGCAGACTTATTATAAGTATATTATTTGCCACGTTTTTACTTCCGCTGATGTTTTCAGATTTTCAAACTAACGTGTCATTTTTCAGACTATGAGCTGAGCCTTTTGGCCGGAGTTTATACAGCATCACACGCTCGTTTGATTAAAAGATAATCTGTTTTTCATAACAGTTTTAAATAAGCAAAGACAACGGATTTTTAGAAAGAAATGTTTTTCTGTAGCATCCCAAATCATGATTTCGCAAATTTAAAAGTATTGTATAAAAGAATTTGCGAAAATTTAACTCTGATTTTAATAAGCTAGCGGGGTGTTACAAATTGGTATCAGAGCACGTTTTCGTGTATCTGAATACTTTCTTATGTCAGAAAATTTTCAGAAGACCCGACCACGCTACGCTCACGCCCCGCCGACTACAAGTAAGTGCTGAGTTACAGTTTATATATATCTAAACAAATGATTAAGTTTATGCTCAGTAAGAGGGTACCAGATGTTTGACCCTAGAAACCAGTAAGATGCTTGAGTTAATGATAAAGTATTTTCAGAACAGAGTCGATTGTCTCAGTTACTTGATAATTCGACTTTAGTTTTTTCGGGTTATTTAGCGACTCACCAAGAAATTTGTATGCTTAAGCAGTCAGTCAGTTAATCTCTTATGTTATTTAATCATGTTAAGCATTTCAATGTTCAGATACCTCCTCGTAGATATCCAGACCAGCAGGGACTCCCTCAGGCCACAGTGGTCGCAGAATTTCGCGACTACCATCCAGAAAAATTTTCCGGCCAAGGAGATCCTCGTATAGTGGACGAATGGGTTCAGGGCCTTGAAATGATTTTCGAGGTCATGGACTGTCCTGATCATTATCGCGTGTTATGCGCACAAATCCAGTTGACCGGTGATGCCCGACTCTGGTGGAATGCCTATTGGAGTATGCGTCCCGGCGAAAAAGAATGTTGTACGTGGGACCAATTTAAGGAAATGATCCGAGAGAAGTATTATCCCTCGTACTACCGAGCAGACATGGAGCGCCAGTTTCTGGCACTCACACAGGGTACTCGTTCTGTTGACGAGTACGAGAGATAGTTTACCCGACTCGGAGCCTTTGTACCCGATCTTGTGAGTACGAAGGTGAAGATAGCCCATCGATTTACCGACGAACTTCGCCCAGCAGTCCGCCACAACATCGTAGGTTACGGCATCCATACCTATGCCCGCACAGTCGCCGTTGCTCAAGAAGTCGATGCCAGTATCCGACGAGAAGTTATCCCAACACCAGCCCAGCCAGTTGCTCAGCCACCAGCCCAGCCCAACGTTGCCCAACCATTAAGGAACCAGAAAAAGAGGAAGCTCAGAGGGGGGCCAAACGACCGGAGGACTCGCCCTAGACAAATACCAGCCTGCCCGACATGTGGAAAACGCCACCGTGGAGAATGTCTTGTGGGCCAGAACATTTGTTTCTTTTGTCGCCAGCCCGGCCATATCAGCCCCAACTGTCCAGAACGACTACAACAACAACCACAACAATGACAGCCACTTCAACAACCTCAACAGCAGCAGCCCAGGCAGCAGCCACCGCGACCCCAACAACAGCCACGCGGCAGACAGCAGGCCCGCGTTTTCGCAGTTGACCAGAGAGAGGCCGACCAGCACCCAGGTATCATGTCTGGGATGATTATTCTTAATGATGTGCTCGTTTATGCCTTATTTGATACCGGAGCGACCCATTCTTTTATATCGCGCCGATGTCTTGAAGCTATTGGGGTTCGTTCTATTACCGTTGTCGATCCTCTCGAGGTGAGTTTAGCCTCGGGATGAAAGATAGTGATCGACGCTAGAGCTACCGATCTCAGCCTTTCCATCGGCGGCCGTATTTTGACTACTAATGCTTATGTTATCGAGATGAGGGATTTTGACCTCCTCGGTATGGATTGGCTAACATGTTTTCACGTAGATATCCGATGTCACGACCGAGAGATTACTCTTTATCTTCCGGGAGATGATCAGATCACTTATTACGGCTCCAGGACTCGTACTCTACTCCATGTTATTTCTATGGCGAAAGCCAGAAAGATTCTTTGACGGGGTGATTGCCTGGGTTACCTTGTGAGCCTCGTTGGAGATGAGCCAAAGGCACGTTTACCTCATGACATTCCTGTTGTTCGTGAGTTTGTGGACGTGTTTCCAGACCAGCTTCCCGGCGGTCCACCTAGCCGACAGGTGGAATTTTCTATTGATCTTATCCCTGGAGCCGAACCCGTTTTTAAGGCACCGTATAGAATGGAACCTAAAGAAAGAATTAAAGATCCAAATTCAAGAGTTGCTGAATCTCAGTTTTATACGACCAAGCGTTTCCCCATGGGGAGCACCCGTTCTCTTTGTTAAGAAGAAGGACAGATCCATGCGTGTGTGTATCGACTACCGGGATCTTAACCGGTTGACGATCAAGAATAAATATCCGCTTCCCAGGATCGATGATTTATTTGATCAGTTGAGGGGTGCCTGCGTGTTTTCCAAGATTGATTTGCGTTCAGGCTACCATCAGCTGAAAATCAAGGAGTCAGACATACCTAAGAAAGCGTTTCGTACGAGATACGGTCACTTCGAGTTCGTGGTTATGCCGTTTGGCCTCAGTAACGCCCCGACAGTATTCATGGACTTGATGAACCGTGTATTTCATCCTTTTCTTGATCAGTTTGTTATTGTATTCATCGACGATATTCTTATTTATTCCAAGAGCCAGAAAGAGCACGAAGAGCATCTGAGGGCCGTTCTTTCGACCCTTAGACGTGAAAAGTTATATGCGAAATTTTCCAAGTGCAAATTTTGGCTTCAGCGAGTGGCCTTTCTTGGCCACATTATTACTCAAGCAGGTATTGAAGTTGATCCTTCCAAAATTGCCGCAGTCCAGAATTGATCAGCACTGAAGAATCCGTCCGAGGTTCGTAGTTTCCTCGGCCTTGCAGGTTATTATTGCAGATTTATTGAGGGGTTCTCGAAGATTGCCCTCCCTTTGTCTCAGCTGGCGAGGAAGTCTGTGAAATTTGAATTTACAGACCGTTGTGAGTCGAGTTTTTAGGAGCTGAAAAGGAGGCTTACGATGGCACCGGTGTTGACTATTCCAGATTCTTCTCGGAGTTTCACCATCTATAGTGATGCTTGGAGACAGGGTTTGGGGTGTGTACTTATGCAGGACGACCAGGTTGTAGCTTACGCTTCACGTCAGTTGAAGCCTCATGAACAGAACTATCCTACCCACGACCTGGAGTTAGCTGCAGTGGTACATGCACTCAAGATATGGCGGCACTATCTTTATGGTGGTCTATGCGAAATTTACACCGATCACAAGAGTCTGTAGTATATTTTCACACAAAAGGAGCTCAACATGCGTCAGCGACGTTGGTTAGAGTTTGTTAAAGACTATGACTGCACGATTTAATATCATCCGGGGAAAGCAAATGTTGTGGCTGATGCCCTAAGCCATAAGGTGAAGGGTGACTTGACTTATGTTGTTACTCAGCAGAATCATCTTATTCATGAGTTCGCCCGGATGCAGATTCAGATCGTTGATTCGCTTCCTGCAGTGATTACAGGGAGTGTTAGTTCGATGCAAATTCAGCCTACGTAGAGAGACAGAATCCGGCAGGATTAGGCTCACGATCAGTTTATTCATGCTATCGAGGCCAAGCTTCACGTCGGAGGAGTCGAGGGTTTTTCCCGAGGCGTAGATGGCGCCTTGGAGTTTCGCGGCAGGATTGTGGTGCCAAAAGTCGAAGCGTCGAGGAAGGAAATTTTAACTGAGGCTCATACCGTACCATATCTAGCCCATCCAGGAAGCACAAAGATGTATCATGACCTGAAAAGGTCGTCTTGGTGGCGAGGATTAAAGAAAGACGTAGCCGACTTTGTGAGAAGATGTTTAACCTGTCAACAAGTTAAAGCCGAGCACAAGAGTCCCATAGGCCTTCTACGACCACTGTCGATTCCGAAGTGGAAGTGGGAGGAGGTTACGATAGATTTTGTCACGGGATTACCGAGGTCGTCTGAACATCACGACGCTATTTGGGTCGTGGTCGACAGATTGACTAAGGATGCTCATTTCTTGCCAGTATCGATGAATATGTCTTTGGACAAGTTAGCTGAGATTTATACCCGTGGGATCGTTCGACTCCACGGAGTGCATGTTACTATCATGTCAGACAGAGATCCCAGATTCACTAGTAGATTCTGGCAGAGTTTGCACGAGGCGATGGGCACGAAGTTAGCATTTAGTTCAGCCTACCATCCAGAGACTGACGGACAGACAGAGCGGACTATTCAGACATTAGAGGATATGTTGCGAGCTTTGGTTGTTGACAGGGGTGCTAAGTGGGAGTCGTTATTGTCGTACGTCGAGTTTGCGTACAACAACAGTTATCATTCTATTCAGATTAGGGCTGGCATTTTTTGACCGAAAACCGAAAACCGAACCGAACCGAACCGAACCGATGTGCTAAAAAACCGAACCGAACCGACTCTTGTTTATCGGTAACCGAATGT